CGGCCCCGCCCCGAGGAGGCGGGGCCTCGGGGCGGGGCCGACGCACCTGCCGCCTGCACCTGCCACGTCCTGGCGTCTCCGCTGCCCGCTGCCCCGACGTGCTCCGTGCGCGGAGGGCGCGTTGTGTGGCCGGCAGGGTGCGCTCCGAGCTAGGCCACAGGCCCCGCCCGGCCTCGGGGCGCCTCGTGTCGCCCGGGAGCCTGGGCTAAATCCCTGGACTGCTTCTGGCAAGTAAAACTGTCGGGGTGGAGTTGAGAGGGAGCAAGAATGGAATGAACCGTATCCACGAGGCTCCCTCCCGCCTCTTCTTCAGATCTTTACTCAGATGCCTCCCGATGAATGACCATCCGCAGGGACCATCCCTGTCCACCCTACCTGAAGTTGCAACCCCTTTCCCCTAAGACTCATGCACTCCCCTTCCCTGCTTTATTTTTCTCCATCGCGTTTATCACTATGAAATACACACATGCTGGGTATTTTATGTATTTATCTTGTATTTCATATATTTATCTTGTTTCTTTTGTCTCCATCAGAATCGAAGCACCTGGAAGGCAGGTATTTTTGTGTCCAGGGCCCAGAAATATTTCACTGAACTCGAGCTGCCTCTGGAAGAGGCCTGAACTTGGGTGACAATTTTCTTCAGCTGGGACAATCCCCAAAGAGGGCTGACAGCTGAGGGCAGTTGTCTGGTGGCACTCTCAGCAGTCCATCAGGATAGCGCACCCCAGCCTCCGTAACAGTATGTATGTACTGGAATGTTTTAGTCTACAGCAAAGGGTGGTCAATTGCCCTGCTTGGGGGTGCACACTCCAGAAGTGGTTAGGTAGCATTTAGTCAAAACTAATACAGGCACTTGGACAGTCTTAGGTCAATAGAAGTGGCTTCATTAATTAGCATAATAGAGGATTCTTCAAAAAGCTCATGGAAAAATAGAATTGAAAGATAATTTGAATCTTTCCATGAATTTTGAAGGCTTTAGTAGATGTTAGAGTTTTTCACCGGCAAAATTAGTGGTGTCCAAGTCATGCGGATTGAGTATAGTCTTTTTTTTTTTTTTTTCCTTTTTGTCTTTTTTCGTGACCGGTAACGGGATCGCAACCCTCGGTGTTGCGCCCGCACCCCACTCAACCAGTGAGCGGATCGGTCTCTATATGGGATCCGAACCCTTGGCGGGAGCACCGCCATCTACCGAGTGCGCCACCGGGCCGGCCCGAGTATAGTCTTTTTTTGGAGGCATTTCCCCTCTTGTTTGAACAGAGCATGTGGATTTGCATATTCCGGTAGACCAAATCCTTTGGAAGGGGGCTGTGGGCTTTGTTCCAAAATGGTCCAGCTTCCAGCTGTTGATTCAGTAAACTTTTTGTACAAGGTTTGCTCAGAGCACCTAATTTGGCTGGGGGTGTGGACGGGCTGGAGGATGGGGGCTTCTTGCCTTCATATGTCTGTGTGTGTAACAAAATTCAGTCTACAACTTGTTTCCATTGTAAACTGGTAGAGAGTTTGTTGGGGAGGAAGCCCAGAGCCTTTACCTAAACTTAACAACTGGTTAACTCTGCAAGCGTTTACTTAAAAACTTAATGATTGTGCATGCTCAAGTTGGTAGGAATCAGTTTACATCACCTCAATGGCAGAAAAAAATAAAATCTAGCCCCCTCCAGATAAACTCATTCAAAGTCAGTGATACCGCGATCATTTCAGGTTTAAAACCACCACAGTCAAGTTGAAGACTGTCCCTTAGTTGCTCTCCTCCCTGGGTTCTGCTGCGGGCAGCATCAGTGGAGGACATCTTATTTGTCTACTTCTCCATCTGTCCTGGGCTCATCGCCACTGGGAGGCAGGCACTCTGCCATGCTGGTCTGCACATCCGGTCACACTTCTGTCCCTTTCCCTTTGAGTCACCTTGGGCTTGTCTGCTTTCAGCTACCTGAGAAAAGCTTTGCCTGCTTCCTGTGCCCCCATGGGGACAGGAAAGGCAATGCTCACCAGTAAGGCCAGGGGCTGCTGCTGATGTGGCAGGATAAGGACTCTCTCTAAGGCAGCCCCTCTTACACTCTTCTGCTTGGCATTGAGAATGTGCTCTGGGACTTGCCCTCACTCTCAGGGCAACAAGACCACAAGTGAAGTGCCCAAACTTATAGGGATCTTCCTATGACTGCCACTACCACTGTCACCCCTACCATCCCCTGGGACTCTGTCCAGGTGACAGGGATGGACTCAAGTCCAAGCCTCGGTGTTTTCTCTGTTGCTTTCTTCTGCATCCCACACCTAGTACTGGGGGTGAGGAAACTGGAGTGGTGTCCTTGATCTTTCCTATTTTACACCTGGATGTAAGTTTTTGAACTCAGAAGCCAAGAATTTTGATGTCTTTAGTGTCTGGCTCCTCGGAAATGTCTTTGTATTCCCTCCTCTGTATGTCCCTCCTTTTGGGACGATACTGTCCAGGAGAGTCCCTAAGTTCATGAAGATGAGGAGAGGAAGGGGCAGGGAGACAGAACACACCAGTAAAAACTCTTACCTGGCCTAAGTAGGTTCATTGGGTTCTTTTAAGTACTGCCCCCAACTTTAATTAAAATACAAATATTGCTGGGTATTGGATGAAAGCAGAAACACTTTAGTGTGCATTTATTGAATCTGACATTTTTTTTCTCAACTGGGGGAGACCCCTGCCTGGGAGTGGGTGGGGTGGGCACACACGGGAGGGGAGAAGACTGAGGAGGGAGACAGTACAGTTGTCTTGACCTACTTCCCATGTGCTTGAGGCCACAGGGCCCTGGACCAAACAGCAGCTCTGACTCTGGTTTCAGGGTGGGGTGGGGAGCTTGAGCAGGAGAAGAAGTGGGAGAAGTGGGGACTGAAATACCCAAGGACAGGGACATGTGTGTGAGAAGCTGGGTGTGGGGTGCGTGCTCTTACACAGACTGAGCTTTGTCCACCCCCTCCATGGCAGGCTCCTGGTGCTCCCAGCCACTCGTTGGCTCCTGGTCCAGGCCAGAAGCCACCCAGTGGAGTGACCTTGCTCCAGCTACTGGTGGAGTGTCTGGGGGTTGGTGGGGTAGTGTATCCTTCCTCCTGGGCCTGCTACTCTTGGACCCAGCTCTTCTGCTGCCCCGTGGGATCACTGGACGATGCCAGAGAAAGTGTTGATGGGCATCAGAAGAGGTTTGGGCTTGGCTTTGGTCATTTCCATCTCCTTCTGTCCATGTGAATTGACCCATGACTCCCTGGACTTCTGGACCCTGGAACATGGCTCTGGACAGGGAGCAACCTCGAATCTGTGGATGGGGAGAGGCCAGTTCAGGTGACAAATCTCAGGGATCAAATCTGCCCAAGTCATTTGAAAGGTAGACCCATTATTATAGGGTATAAAGGAGGGGGCCTCGCAGAAGGACGAGGAAGAGGCGGGAGGAGAAAGAGTACCCTGGGCCTGGGGCTAATCAGCAGAGGAGCAGATGCCTGAGTCAAGTCACACAAGCACACTTCCCCAAGGGAAACCATTAAGGGGTGCAGAAGCCATAGAAGGTCAGCCTGTGTGGGAGGGACCGTGCCAGCAGGGCAGGTTGGGTTGGGAGGGCTGCAGGCTGAGTGTGCATTGGAATCTAGGGAAAACTTATAATCAGCTGCTGCCCAGTGTCGGTCATTCATTTGCGTCTTCCTGCATTTAAGTCACAGGGCAGTGGCTTAAGTCCATGCCCACCAGGGACACCTGCCTGGTCATAGGATCTGCTCCTGATAAGGTGTCCTGGCTAGAAGCTGGAGACAGCAGGAGCTGGCTCCTGCTTAGGTTTGCCCCAAGGGTCCTGGACACCTAGGGGTAGCAGGCCCAGCCTCACCTGACCACATCCCTGAAAGTGCGCCGATTGTCCTTGTCTAGCAACAATGTCAGCAGCCTCTGGTCCTGGCTCTGGATCTGGATATTGGCTGCCCGGAATGTATTCGTCACTGTCTGCAACAAAGAGACAGCTTATGTGAGTGTCACTTTCACTCAGCAGATGGCCCTGCCAGCATGTCTTACCCTGGAATCTGGTGTGTTTCTTTGGTCCAGCACACGGGGTCCTGAGCTCTCTTCCTGCAAGTGACTCTGAGCAGTGACAACCCTGCATAAATTGCTTCTAGGCCACCCTTGCCCTTGGATCTGCATTTCTTTTCCCAAGCTGCTGTCCTTAATTTTGAACACAAACTGGAATGCCATGGAGAGCCTGTTCTAGCCCAGGAATCTATGTGCCAGGTTATCAAGTTACCTGAGTCTGAGTGTTGGTCTATTCAACAAACATTTTCTGAGCTTCTCCTAAATGACAGGCTTGTTATTATGTGTGGTATTTGGGGGCATTTCAGGGGTTTTATAAGTCCTGACTCCAATTCTCAGTATTAAATTAGATACAGAATTATTTGCCTGAATCAGAGACAGAAGGTCTAGAAAGGATCCACAAACACCCAAGCCTCAGACCAGGCCAAAGGAAAGGAACCCGCAGGCATCCTTCTGACTGCTGACCTGAGGGGCTGCTCCAGAGAGGTCCCCTCCCATTGGGCAGAGAACTTGGAGCATCCTAGGTTCCAGACAGGGCTTTCAAGGGGCTTTTCTGGGTCACCGGCCACAAGCAGATAAGCTCTGGGTAATTTACAGCCACAGAACACTGGAGTTGCTTGACGCCTTGGAGTCCATTCAAGTGTTCATAACCCTGGCTGCTCATAAAGATCACCGTTCAAAAACATAAAATTAGAGATTCCAGTTTAAGTGGTCTGGAGTCAAGCCCAGCATGGGCATTTTTTAAAAAGCTCCCTGATGTAGGCAGGGCTGACAGCCACTTAGTTAATCCAGCATCTCATCGTCACATCACAGAGCCCGATCAGCAGCCTAAACTGCAGGGTCAAGAATGTCTGGGCGAAGGGTCCCCCCACTTTCCTTCTGTGTCCTCACCAAAAATTACAGAGTTTTGACCGCTCTATGTTGTTATCCAGAACAGTGAAAAAAACTGGCCCCAGCCCTGAGCTAAATGTCTGAAACCCTCGTATAAACTCCACACCCTTACCCCCTGGGTGGAACACCCCTTCCTCTCGCTACCTGTCGGGAGGATACGCTGCAGTGCTCTGTATGTAAATTCCCCGAGGAAATGCTGATCACCCTGGCATTTAGTGCTGCTTTCTCTGGAATCCCAACCGGCCCCATCTCAGGACAGTCTGGGGTGCTCCCTTGCGGCAGCTCTCTCTTTTGGGGTGATTCCAGCTGTGAGTTCGGTGGGACAAAACACCAGGCATTTCAGGTGAACTTTTGTGGGGCTGGGGGTAGGCGAGCCAGAAGTCTGTGGGCAGAGTGTGCAAGGGTCTCTCCGGAGGAGGGCTGAGAGCAGTCTCTAAGCCAGACTGCCCCGGTTCTAATCCTGGCTCTGCTACTTATTAGCTGTGCGACTTTGGGCGTATTTCTTAATCTCTCTGTGCTATTTAGAAAAAAATAGTAATCACAGCAACTACCTTTTAGGACTGTTGCGAAGATTAAATGAAACAGTATATGTTAAGTTCTTGGGACAGTGCCTGAGACATGGAAGAGTTCTTATTAGTGTTGGCTGTTTATTATTATTATTATTAATTATAATTTTCCAAGAAGGAGCCAAGCATGAGTAAAGGACTCAGTACGAACCCTCAGTCATCAGAGGGGCAGGGGAATGCACTGTGGATTCTTTCTCTTTCCCATTGGCCTCATAGGCCACCCCCACTCCTACCATCATCCTACCCTAGACGCCTGTGAGTAAAGACAGAAAGATGGACCAAAACCTCTGTAAGACAGGGGACATCCCATGACAGAGGGCAGCACACAGGGAGGTCCCCTGCTGTCAGCAGGACCTGTGGCAGCTTTGGTGCCCTGGAGCTCTCAGCCACGGTGGGCAGTTGTGGTCAAAGGGGCAGGCAGTGAAAGCTAGTGGGCACTGACTGGACAGCTAACTGGATGACTGCCAGTACTGGGATGCCATCTGCGACCTTCCAGAAATACCTGGTGAGACTGCAGGGGCTGAAGTCCTGCATGAGCTGGGGGATGGGAGGAAGCCAGGTGCGTGCAGTATGTGATAGTTAATGGGACCACACCTGAACTGACTGCACCTGGTGAGGGAAAGTCATAGTTCCCATAGGTGAGGAGACTGAGTCCAGAGGGATTGCATATGACCCGCTGACGGTCACACAGTGGTCAGTGTGGGGCCCAGCTCCCTGACTCCTGACTTGGTGCTCTTCCTCCTGCATCGGGGTGCCCGAGGTGTCTCAGCCTCCATGACCTGTCCATGGGGCTGGCCCCACCTCTAATCACACGCAGTCTGGGGCCTCCTCCCACCAGCCCACAGCGTAGGCAGATGCTTTCTGCTTCCTCTTTGTGGTCTGCATGCTTAGACTCTCCCTATCTGCTTGGCTTTGGCCCTTAAGAACCACAGGAGTCTTGGGTTTCAGTCTGTAAATGCAGCCATGGAGACCAGTGGAAAGGGCCAGATGCAGAATTTGCAAAGCGTCCCAGACTCAGCAAGATGAGCGGCTTGGTAAAATGCTAAATGCCTCCTGTTTTCTTTTCGTGGCTTCCTGTCTTCCACACCCCAGAGCCCCAACTCTTCTGTTCCTGCCTTATTTCCCACTACTCTTCTATATCAAACTTCCAATCCAGCCAAGGTCATATCTTTGCTGACCCTTCAACTCACCAAGCCAGCCACAGTGCTCTTGCCCATTCTGATCTCTGAGCCAGGAATACCTTCAGCTCACTGTGAACAACTTCCCCTTGCTGCTCAGTGTTTGTTATCCACCTGGGTTCCAGGAGGAAAGCACAGCTACTGGAATTTAACCACAGCAGTCGGTGCAGGAATAAAAGGGAACTTGCTGGAGTGATATGTTAGATTTTCGAAAAGCCCCTGACCAAGTTGTTTAAAGAGGTTATTAAAAACAGAAACCACAGTAAGGAACTGACTTTGAAAGAGGAAATACAGCATAAGGGTGAATAGACCCACCTTGGGGCTTAAACCTTAAATATCAGGCTGCCCTATAGAAAGGTAGGTTTCAGCTCAAGGCAGTAGATCTCTCAGGCAATCAGAGCTCTCCTACACTGAATGGGCTGCAACACAAAAAGTGAGCTTCTGGTTCTGAGATCTAGGATGAGATCAGGATGAGGTAGAGGATGGACTAGATGACTCAGTAAACATCTGGTGAGCCCCTACTGTGTGCCAGACACCACACTGAGTGCTAGGGGAAACGGAGGGCTAAGATGAGGGCCCTGAGCCCAGGGAGCTTGCAGGCCATTGACATACAAAGATCGTGCCATTTATAGTGTTGCAAATGCTTCCATGGCTGTGTCCCCAGGGTTCTGTGGGAGCACAAAAGTGGGGCACCTAGCTCTCCAGGAGTGGGGAAGAGGGGGTAGAGCATCAGGAAAAGCCTCCCAGGGAGATGACACCTGAGTCTCATCCTACAGGATAAGTAAGCGTCACAAAAAGAAGGTGGGGAAGAGGGAGTGAGGAATGGAGTTTCAAGCAAAGCTAACAGCATGAGCAAAGACACGGAGATGGCCAGGAACACTTCCAAACATCACAGTGGAAAGGGCTTGCAGGGAGTGGGCAGGGCTGAGGGTAGAGAGGGAGGGGCACCAAGCTATGAAACACCGAAGAGTTTTTCTGCCCTTGGAGAATGAGAAAAGACAGAGGGGTTTTAAGTATGAAGTGACATGTCAGAGTTCTGTTTTAAAAAGATGGCTCGGGCAGAAACAAGGAAGGCAGGCTTACAGAGCATCACAGTGGTGTCAGGGAGACCAGGTAGGAGGCTACTGCATTTGTCCAGGAAATGAAGATGGATGAAGGTCTGGACCTAGGGTGACCAACTTGTCCTGGCTCGCCTGGGACATTCTTGGTTTTAGCACTGAAAGTCCCAAGTCCAGGAACTCCCTTCAATCCCAGGCAAACTAGGACAGTTGGCCAACCTAGCTGGACCAGACCAAGAACGGAGAAATTTGAGAAGTGCTTGAAAAGGTGACCAACTTGTCCTGGCTTGCCTGGGACATTCTTGGTTTTAGCACTGAAAGTCCCAAGTCCAGGAACTCCCTTCAATCCCAGGCAAACTGGGACAGTTGGCCAACCTAGCTGGACCAGACCAAGAACGGAGAAATTTGAGAAGTGCTTGAAAGAGAAAACTAGCAGGACACGGGGAAGTGAGGAAGAGGAGGCAGGTTTCTGGCAGAAGTGATTGGTTAATGATGGGACCGTTAAATGAGAGATGTGATACAAGGAGGGGATGAAATAAAAACAACTGCTAACACCTACCTAGTGCCTACTCAGCCACACATGCCATGATCACTTCATCCTCACAACTGGATGAGGTAGGTAATGTTGTCCTCATTACAGCTGATAAACGGCAGAGCCAGGATCTGAACCCCGGCAGTCTGGCTCTAGAGAGCTCTTAACCATTCGAAGGTACTGGCTTTGCTTTTAAATATCTTGAGTTTGGGGTGTTGTGGGAGGACATCTGGCTCACGCATGTGGTTGAATGCAGGAGTCAGAAACTCAGGGCTGAATGTCAGAGCAGGAGGCACAGAGTTGGGAGCCCTTAACAAATTGGACTAAACCCTTGTAAGTGGATTTGATAGTCTGTTGAATGAGAAAAGTGGGCCATGAATAGAAGGTGAGAACAGCAGCGGTTTAAGGAACTGATTTAACTAAAAGAGGTCAGGGAAAGAGGCAAAAAGGTAATAATCAGACATGTAGAAGAAAAACTATAAGAAACTGGCATCTCAGAATTTATGGATTTAGGGTGTTTAAAGACCCAGAGAACAGGGCTTTAGTTCTGGTGGTGGAACTCACTCACAAATGACCAAAGGAATATAAAACTGGGGACATCTATGACAATGCTAGAAGCCAGCTTCACTGGAGTATTAACTTATAAATGTAATTGCAAATATATATACTTAAATGTAAAGGGAACCACTAATAGAAAAAGAAGTACATATAACTTCCAAATCATCCGAGGGGAATAAATGAGCAATTAAGATCTGAGCAATGCAGCAAAAAGAAACATACAAGACAGCAAAAAGCACGAAAACGAAACAGAACAGGAAGCACGATATAAAATGCAGAGTCAGGTCAAATAGCACATGAAGTTATTCTCCACGGATTAAATGCTCATTTGTTAAAAAAAAAATCCAAACAAATGTATTTTACAATTGTAGTTCCACAAAGAGACAGCAAAGATATAAAGGGAAAGAAATTATTTTAAAAATCATATTAGAAAATATCTCAGAGCTGAAAGATGCAAGTCTCCAGATTAAGGATGTCCATCAAAGGTCCAAAATAATGAAAAAAAAGATTCTACCAAGGTATCTTCCTGTGACATTTCAGAACCCTCTACGAAATGAAGTGTGTAAAGCTTCCGGAGAGAAAAAAACAAACAAAAAACCAATCACATGCAAAGACTGGGCATAAGAAGGCATCGTATTTCACAACAAGAACAGTATCAGAAACTAGAAGAAAATTCAGGTTCAAAGAAATTATGATAGAACCAACAAAATCAAAACCATAGTGGGAATGTCGAAAGACCTCTCCGAGTTTTGAGCAGATGAAATGGACAAAAAAATTTTTAAATTTGTATATTACACATGATAGAACCAACAAAATCAAAACCATAGTGGGAATGTCGACAGACCTCTCCGAGTTTTGAGCAGATGAAATGGACAAAAAAATTTTTAAATTTGTATATTACAGTAATATAATGTGTTTGATTTAATCATTAAACATCATACTTTGTACTCTACAGATAGAAAACACACGTACTTTTTTTAGATACCACAAGATATTAAAAAATTCTTCATGTACCGGGCAATGAAGAAAATGTCAATAAATTTTAAAGAAGTTGAAATTATGCAAGTCAGATGCTTTGGCTGTCCTGGGGCATTTGCTAAGCTCAGGAATCAAGGGGTTTGTGTTTCAATAGGCATGGGGGGACTGGAGACACGGTCTTGGGCCCACATAAAGCAGGGATTTGAATCTGAGATTCCCTTCGCGGACTCTTGAAGAGCACACTCTGAGTGAAAGACTAGATTAGAAAAAAGCCCTCAGCACAAATAGGAGACCACAGGGAATCTTGTCTGCTTTGGCTTTTGCTGAGCCAGAAAGATAAGTCTTTCCTGTAAATTCTTAGCTACAAGCCTGTCCTATTGTGGATTTGGGGTATACATTTATACTCTGCATGGTCTGAAAATTTCTAATCCAGAAATGAACTCAAACTATGGTCTTGAGCAGATAATGTTACCGGGGCACTTGGCAAGAACAAATACAGAATTTTCCTAGAAAGACAATTTTTCTACCCAGGTTTCCCAACAAATAAGAGCTCATAATTTAAGAAATATACAAGGAATTAAGCTGCCACGGGGCCAGTGAACCCAATAAACAGAAGGATTTGACTCCCAATAATTATAGATAATGAAATTACATAAATCAGACTATAAAATAAAACTGTTTAAAATGAATAAGTAAATAAAAGAAGGAATAAAACCACGAGAAAGGAACAACATACTACTAAATACACATGCCATTTTCATCCATTCTAAAACCATTTTCCCCGTATTTTAACATCTCTGAAATTAGGAAGTATTCTGCAAACAATGTGATAAGAAAGCATTGTTCATGGTTTAGGAAGCATCGTTTCTTTCTCAGTAGTATGATCCATCTTAAATTCGATGAGATTGGTGTTCAGACATATGTAATGTATAATCATATCAGAGGCAGAAATCATATATGAAATCACTTATATACAGAAATAAATTATAGATGGTGCTACATCAAAATATAAAGTTATTTAATGTTTTAAGAAAAACATTAAAAGACAAACTGGGAAAAGTATTTCCAAAACATATGACAAATAATGGGTTAATGTCCTCATATTATAAAGTAGGGACACCGCAGTATTCATATGGGATGAGAATAAGCAGGAAATACATAAATGAAGAAATAGAAATTATCTAGATATAAGAAATTATTCAACTTTACTAGTTAGTAATGAAAGAAATGCAAATTAAAATAATGAAAAGTTTAACAATCAAATTTGCAAAGATGAAAAAAATCAATCCATATGTTACTTGTGCTGTGATACTGGCACTCGAGTACAGTGAGATGGAACTTAGTATAGACTTTCTGGAGGACAATTTGACAAAGTATGTGAAAATCCCAAAATATGACGCCATCTGACGGAGCGACTTCACTCCTAGACATTTTTAAAAAAGGTATAACCATGATTTTTAGCACATTTCTATTACTAAGGATGTTCCCCACAGAATACTTATGATCGTGGAAAATGAAAATTTACTCTAATGTCTTCTGAGAAATAGTTAAATAGTTATACAGGCATGCAACCCTCATGTAATAGATATTTAATGAAATACATTTAATGACACAAAGCATAATTAATGACATAAACAAGGCCCCACCAATATAAACCAAGATATATTCATCAGGCTTTAGTATATATTTTTTTTGACCAGTAAGGGGATTGCAACCCTCGGCTCAGTGTTGTCTGCACCACGCTCAGCCAGTGAGCGCACCAGCCATCCCTATATAGGATCTGAACCCGTGGCCTCGGCGCCGCCAGCGCCGCACTCTCCTGAGTGAGCCACGGGGCCGGCCCTTTTTTTTTTTTTTTTTTTTTTTTTTTTTTTTTTTTTTTTTTTTTTTTGCTTTAGTATATTTTTGAGTAAAAACGTCAAGTTCCAGACCAGTATGTGCTGTAGCTATGTCAATTATGTGAAAATATACAGAAAAAAAGGCTGAAATTAATTTCAGATTAACACCTGAAAATGTTAATAGTCATCCTCTCCAGGTATAGGTACTACTGGTGAATTTGCTTTTTTGTCCGGTTTTTTTTCTTTTTGGTATTGTTTGAGATAAATAATAGCACTTTTGTTTATAGGTTAAGAAGTCATCCTAAAAAAAGATAAAGAAATATAAGGACTAAAAAGTGACCATTGATCTTGGCAACATGGAGGTGACTTTGTCACAGTGGGGTGGGCTGGAAGCAGATGGTCGTGGGCAGAAGAGTCACTGTTAAGGAACTGGATGCACTTCTAGAAGTATCTGTCAAGAAGCTTGACTGAGAAGGGAGGAAGGAGATACAGCAGGTAGTTGGGTCATGGTAGAGTTCTTTTGTTTTTTTTTTTTTTTTTTTTTAGGATGGAAAAGACCTGAGTATGTTTATAGATGAAGATGAAGGAGCCATGGAGAGGGAGAGGTCAAAGCAGTAGAAAAGAGAACTGCAGACAGACAAAGAGCCTGGAGGGGATGGACGAGGAGAGGACCAAGTGACTAAGGATCCCGGTGAGGTGCAAGGTCACGAGTCTGCTGTGGTCCTAATCAGTGAGGATGCAGGGTTTATTGCAGAAGCACTCAGCCACCTGGACACACAGACTGAGCAGGCAGCTTGATCTAAAGCGGAGTGTCTGGTGCAAGGGTGCTGTGGGCGTGAGAATGTGGCTCAGGCATAAGCATGGGGCTCTGAGGACAAGCTGAGCAGGCAAGTGTAGTCTGGAGAGGCTTCTGGAGAGGGAGAAGATGGGTGGGTCTTCTGTCTGTGTTAGTAAGTACCAACAGGGCAAAGGCGAGGGTGGGGGCAATGAGGTGGAAAGAGCAGGTTTGATCTGGTCTAAGGCTGGGCTGCTGTTTAGGACTCTGGCTGTTGCATAGTGCCCAGGGAGGACAGAACGTGGGTGCATTTTGTAGTTATCCAGGCATGTGTTAGGGCCTCAGACTGTCGGCAGATGGAGAGCAGGGTCTTAACTCTGAGAGCACCTCACTTTCACCAGCTGGTTCTCCATAATCCAAACAGACCACTGGAAAGCAGATTCTTTCCCATGGGAAGACCCACTTCAATAGCAATATTGAATATTGAAGAGCAAAGTCTAAGAAGTCAGTTCCCCTTTTTTGGAATACCCTCCTGTCTGGGCTCCCAGTCACCTACCCCGTTCCCATCCAGCTGTCCCCTTCTCCCATTCTACTCAGTACTTACAGAGAAGGACCTTCCTGCCAAGTTGGAGGACTTGGTGACCTCTGTCACGCTGACATTCAGACACATGTGGTCTGTAACAGGAGTGGCAGTCGAGGGGCAGTAAGGGGTCCCTGAAACTGAATGAGATGGGGGCAGTCTGTGAATGGGCTTCCAGGGAAGTAGGGGAGTTTTAGATTCTAGGTCCTAAGGAGACCTCCATGGATCCATCGTGTGGTCTGTAACAGGAGTGGCAGTCGAGGGGCAGTAAGGGGTCCCTGAAACTGAATGAGATGGGGGCAGTCTGTGAATGCGCTTCCAGGGAAGTAGGGGAGTTTTAGATTCTAGGTCCTAAGGAGACCTCCATGGATCCATCTTGCCCCTCACTCCCCGATTAAACCCTCTCCCACCACTTCTCAGCCCCCACTTCCTGATTCTGCCTTGGTCCTAACCAAGTTCCAGTTCCTTCCGGATCATCCATCTCCCTTCCCTGGCGATCCACACATTTTCTGCATCCTCAGGCCCAGCAGCCATCACCAACCCAAATCCCCACCCACCACCCTTCCTTCATCTCCTCCTGTGCCCCCTTTTCAAAGGAAGAAAGTTCTGCTGAACTTCCCTGCAGCTGTTGGGCACGCTAAGAATGTAAGGAACACCTAGCCCAGGGCATGGCGTAGGATGGAGGCACCAATGGGATTGGGAGGTCATTACTGCCAACAGGTCCAGAGTGTTTCTTTGACTTTCTTAAGAGTGTCTACTGTGTCAAAAATTGTTACTGTATAACTGCTGTCAGGCTTAATCCCACCCTGCCAACTTAAGAGGGTTCTTAAATGCAAATGATCTACTTAAAACAAAGATGGTTCTTAGATGTTTGTGCCTCTAAGGAGGGTTTTGGCATCACTGACCAGCTCTAATAGGGCTTAGAGTGGGGGGTGGGAGGGTGAGCATCTTGTGAAACACATAGGAGGAATAGAATTTTAACAATAAAAGCTAACATTTGTAGTTTACTAGATGCACACAAAAGAGCATCTATTTATCATCTCCATTTTAGAAATGGAAAAAAAAAAAAAAACACAAACCAGGTGGAGAGATCACAAATAACTTGTCCAAGGTCACACTGATGATAAGTGGCAAAGCTGGGGTTTGAACCTGCAGTCTCGACCCACTGCCCTGGAACGACCTCCGGGTTATGAGCTATTGCCAAAATCACATGTCTCCAAGGTGTTAAAGATCTACAAGAATGTCTTGCTGTGACAGAGTTTCATATGTCGTCCACAAATTCAACTTGCTTGGAAGCGATTTTATCAGGAAGTGATATTACTACTTGAGTTTCTTCTTTGTAGCAGATGCCAAGAAAATTGAGGAACTACGATGCCCATAGCAAACACAAATGCATTATAGACAGAGAGCTGTCGTAGTCGGAATGCTAGCAAAGCCACAGAGGATTTCAGAGCCTGAGCAATTGTAGCTGGACGGCAAGGGGCATCAGAGTCAGCTTCCCTATGAGCATTCCAGCCTGGCGAATGTGTATTTTCATTCTGTATTTCTTCTGGAATATTCTAAATTCATTTGTTCATTTTTTAAAACAAATTTTTGGGTTTAAAGTCGCACTTTATTTATTCGGCAAATGTTTATTGAGTATCTACCATGTGCCAGGCCCTGTGTTGGACACTGAGGATGAAGTGGTGAGTAAGATATATTTCCACCTGGTGAACCTTCCTGTTTGCTCTGAAATGATTCTCTACAAGCATCTGTGGGTAACATCCCTTAAGTCTAGCTTTTAAAATCTGGCAGTTTGGAGGAGGCAGTGTGGGGCGGTGGCGAGGAACACAGACTTCTAGGTGAGGATGCCTGGGTTGGAATCCCAGCTCTGACCCCTCCTCACGGAGGTGACCTTGGGTAAGTTATTCTCTTTGCTTCAGTTTCCTCTCCAGTAAAAACCTGCTTAATACAACTAACACCTGCCTCCTAGGGTTAGCATGCTAAGAGTTCATGTGTTAGCACAGAACACTGCCCGGCCTCTGGATGACTTTTCATTATTCCAGGAGACCAGGGATCTCACAATAAGATATTTATAATACTTATAATTTATTAAATGCCCATAAGTTGGTTTCTTTTATTATCTCTGGTTTTTTGGAATGACATTCAAAATCCAAAATTTCTGAGCAGAATGTAACTAGCCCTGCAGGCCCAATTCAGAGGCAGGAGGCCAACTGCAACCCTCCCTGGGGTCCCTCTGCCTTCCAGCCTGCAGAGGCCCAGGCCAGAGGCCAGTGCTAGGTGTGGGTTACTCTACAGTGAGCCGCCTGAGGGCAGAGACCATGTTTCCCCCAGGGCAGCCACCTGCACCCAGCCCTGGGCCTAGCTCGAGTCTGATAAGCGTGCAGGGACAGTGTGGGAGGCCTCCCTCCTCTGGCTCCCCCATCTCCTATCACTCGGTCCTCTCCCCTGCCCGCTGCCTAACTTCCCCCTTCCCGTCCCTTCTCTCTTTCTTTGCTCTGAGTTCCCAGCTCCGCACCTTCAGTGTCACTGGCTGGAATGGCCTTCAGGACCAGCCCAGTGGCCCGCAGGGAAATGGTGACCTCTCGGGGCCGGTGGCTGAGCAGGGCCTGGGGAGGGGGATTGAAGAACAGATGGGGGTCCTCGGGACGGGCCCCTCCTGACACCCATAGTCTTGTCTCTCTCTCTTGCTTTCCTCCCCTGCCCTAAGAGTCTTGCCTGTGTCACTAATGTCCCATAAGGGGCTAGTGGGTAGAGGCAGAAAGTAGCTCTAGCCCCAGAGAGCATGTTCAGCCTTCCAGAACCAAAGAAATAAATCTCCAGTGAAATCAGTTCAAGCATCTGGTCAGCTAGTGAAGAAGATATTTTTGAGCAAAGGGCATAGCCCTGTTGTTCCTTAAATCCCATCATCTCCTTGTCTGCATGTAAGGTCAGCCTTAACCCACCCATCCCTGCAAAACTCTCCTAAGGCAAGGAAACCCTGGGGCAGCTTTAGGAAAAGGGGCTGAAGTTTCCCTTGGCTGTGTCCACTCCCCAGCATGTCCCTGAGGCCTGCTTCCACCTCCTGTGCCTCCCGGCACCTGCTGCTGCACCCAGCACACTGACCTTCTGGTAGCACAGGGAGAGCTCAGCCCCCGGGCCCTCGGCCGCGCCTCTCCTCCTGGGTGAACAACCTTCTGCAGGGAGATGAGAGGCCTAAGGTGCGAGGCTCCACCTCACTGAGGGCCATGGCTGAGCGGCTGGATTTCCGCCTTTCCCGGGATGGAAAGGCAGCTCCGGGGGTGGGGGTGGGACAGGCTGCCTTACAGTCTGGGGGAGCTTGGAGGGAGCAAGGGCAGCAGAGGGGTGGGGTAGAGTGATGGAGCAGGGGTGGGCACAGGGTGGGGATCATTAGGTGAGAGGGGGAGGGAGAGAGTTTGGAAGAAGCTGGGTCGGGGTGAGCTTTGGAAACGGGGATGCTCACCTCTGGGGAATTTGGAATCTTGGACCTTCACCTTTAACTCAGTGAGGAAAATGTCCTCTGCAGGGTCTTGGCTTAAGTCACTGAAGAAGATCTGGAGAGAGGAAGGGAGGGAGGGGGGAGGCTTGGAGAAGGCTGCCCGCCCCCCGGCCCGAGCATGTGGATGGTTGGGAAAGTGTCCAGAAGCAGGCGGGCACCCCATGCACCTTGCCACTGCTAGATTCTGAGTGGCGTTATGTGACTGCCTGGGTCTGAATCTATCCATATCTATAGCAATATAATAGATTTACAAATAGTGGAAGAAACTATTACTGAAAACCCAAACTACCTGGTAACCTCTACTGTCTAATGGGGAGGGCAGGAGTGGGGGACAAAATTCACATCAGGGAGGGGTAATAAAACCTCTTGTAGACACAAGTAGGAGAGTGAGGGCCAGAGGAGAACTGAGTCCTTGGAGGTGCACAGAGAAGCCCGGGGCTGAGCGTGAGGGCTACTGAGAGCTGATCTGACCCTGGCAGGCAGGTGGAAATCTGGGAGGAGGGGAGCTCGGAGGGAAAGGGGGTGAAGGAGGGAGGGGAGGCCAGGTGTGGAGGTGGGAAGAGAAAGGGTGTCCAAACAACATGGAGGAATGGCCAAAGGTTTTTGAGAACAGGGAAATGGAAAGAAAATAGCAGCCCCTGAAAGCTGGGAGCCCAGCCCACGCTCACAGTGAGGCCATGGTGTCCTGTTGACCATAAACAATTTCACAGATGCCAACATTGTTAGGCAAGGTGACTGTGCGGCCGTGATGGATCGAGACAAAAACCAGGCCACTCCACGATCACGTCCAAACCCAGACAAGATCAGGAACATTGTGCAGGCATCCCCTGCCCTCCCAGCCCAGCAGATTTGAGTCACTGCTGATTCCTTAGCCTTTTCAGTAACAATTACTGAGACACCCAGTCATGGAATTGCTCCCGTGTCCAATCCAGAGCAACGTCCTGCCTTTTGCATCCCTCCCTGTAATCACCCAAGGCAAGCCCACCCCCCAGAATAAGGTCTTCCTCAGCCTCTCACCGAGACGCCCCGTGGGGCCCCCTGGTGGGCGTTCTCCCTCATCTCACCACGTCTGCAAACCCAGCTCTGAGCTGCCACCGCTGTGCTCCTGGTTGGCGGAAGGCCATTGACAGATGCCACATCTCTAATTTTAAGTTATTTGTGTTGCTGAGATGTTTACTCCCTTTGCCATCTTGAGAGGCCTTTTCATTGTTTGTTTTGTGTTGTTTTGTTTTGGATTTTGGAAATCAAAGAAAGGGCCTAAATCCCTCATTTATGTCAAAACCAGGAAGACAATAAAGAAAAGATCCACCACGGGACACAGTGAAGAACGAAAATGCAGCAGGATGGGAAACCAGAGGCAGAGGGGGCCAGGGGAAATTAGTCCTCAGGCGCTCATGGACATCTGGGGTGGGGCGGGTGCTGGGCCTTCCCCAGGACATGGGATTTCAGGAGCAGGGTGACCCTGACTGAATTCTGGGATGACATATCTATGTCCAAGCCTGTATCACAGTGGTGGCCGTGGGAATGTGAGTGGACAGACAGGAGCACAAAGGCATGAAGAAGCAGGGGCCGAGACCCCAGAGGGCTCAGGAGTTCCTGCAGTTGAGATCCTATTCCGCACTGAGCACTCTGGTAGCACGGGGCATCTGTCATCTCATTTAATCCTCCCAGCAACCCTAGGAAGTAGGTATCATCAGCGACCCTAGGAGGTAGGTATCATCAGTCTCAGGGACCTGGAAGTGCAGGCTCTGAGGTGTTAGGCAACTTGCCCAGGAACGCAAGTAGCAAATCTGGCATCCCATCCAGGTTCTTAACCAGGACGTGGGTCTCTTTTGTGTGCCTGCCCCCTCGCTCTCATCTCCCCATCCCTTTACGGTGCTGTTCTACTCATTGGGATTCTCTTAAGAACCCGATGGCAGGTGAAGATTAGTATTGCCTTTTCTAATATGGGGGAAATTAACTTTAGGGAGACGGAGGTGACCGTGATCACATGGTTAGTAAGTGGAGGAACCAGGATGCAAAGCCATGAATGTTTTACTACCCCCCATGGCCTTGAACTCCACACCCATTCTACCCAGCCAGTCCCCAGGAGCACAGTGACTCAGTCTCTAATTCACACATGCACGCACACACACACACATGCACGCGCGCACACACACACACACACACACTTAACAGCAGGTGATTCAAAGATGAACAAAATCCAGTCCCTCATCTGAAGGGCGCCTGGTTTTGGAGAGGAGCAATACACATCTGCAGGGACATTCCAATGTGGTGGGTGAAAGGCTAGTGCTGTGCCCAGAGCGTGACAGGAGCTCTGAGGAGCAGCTGAGCACGCAGCAGTCCAGCTGGGAGTGACAGGAATAGAGGGCGGGACGACTTTGCTGGAGGACAGGAGAGCTGCAGGGGTGACAGAGGGGACATGAGGTGGGGAGGAGGCATCCCAGGCCTCGGCACAGCATGAGCACTGGCTTGCAGGTGAGAGCATCAGGCGAGTGTGGAAAACCGAGACAGGAAGGGGCTGGCTGGCCAAGAGATGTGGAGATGTCCAAAGGCAGCAGAGGAGAACTGTCCAAGAGGCAAGAGGAGGACGAGGAGAGTGTCACAACAGCATCTCCAAAGGCAGCAGAGGAGAACTGTCCAAGAGGCAAGAGGAGGACGAGGAGAGTGTCACAACGGTCAGGGGGTGGGGTTGGCCTCACATGGGGGAGATATGTCCTTCCATTTCTGTAACTGGGACATGAGCATAGCCATTATATATCTAATTGTACTGACAAAGGAAACAAGCACAGTGGCCCTGGGGTGCAGTGCAGTGGAGAGGACCTGGGGCACAGGACCTGGCAGTTCGGAGGTCATTGATAAGACAGTCTTAGAAGAGCCAGCTTGCCATGGTTTGAGGGCAGGTGAGACACAGGGAGACAGAGGCGGTGAGACAGGCTGACCCAGGCCTCCGGCTCCAGGGTGGACGTGCCATGCATCTCCCCGGCCAGTGACTGTGTAGGGACAGGCACTGCCTCAGTCCTTTTCCTCAGTATTGGAAAAGGGAAGCTCTCTTTCCACTGGGGTTGCTAAGCTAGAAAATGTGGACCTGGGATGCTGGTGGGCATCTTGTCACCATGAGGAGAGCATGACAAGAAAAAGGGAGAAGTGTAGTCCTGAGGACACTGTCTGAGCTCTCAAATCCAGCTTTTCTGAAGCTGAATCAGCCTGAACTTTTCAGCAATGTGAACCAATGGATTTTCTTTCTTTTTTTAACCAGCTTTTGAAATTTCTGTTACTTGCTACTAAGAGTCCTCCCCAAAACAGAGAGAGACTGGGGAGATGGTGATCAAAGGAAACAAAATTTCAGTTAGATTAAGGAATAAGTTCAAGAGATCTATAGTATGGCATTGGTGACCGCAGGTAATAACAATGTATTGTATACTTGAAAATTGCTAAGCCAGTAGATTTGACAAGTATGTGAAGTAATGCACATGTTAATTAGCCCAATTTAGCCATTACACCATGTATACACATTTCAAAACAACATGGTGTACAGAATAAGTATATACATTTTTACTTGTCAATTAAAAGTGATATAGAGTCTTATGTAAGCAAAATCATGTTTGTTCTTTACTGAAAAAATAAAAACAGAATGTGAATTATTTTATAGTGCCTATTTCCTGTTGCTATATGTTACACATTGTAGTGCTGTTACATTACCTAGTATATTTTAATACTACCTGCCCAAACCCCTCTCAATCATGAATATCTTAAGTCAAATGTCTTATTTATTATGTGAATTACCAACCAAAAATTATCTCTCTGTGTGTGTGTGTGTGTGTGTGCGTGTGTGTGTGTGACATCATCTGGTAAACCTGTTCAATTGTGCACCAGAGATATATTCGGACATTTTGAATTAAAACATAACTTTAAAATATTCTTCAAACAAAACAAAACAGTAATCAGGGATGGAATTTTGCAAGTGAAGAGGTTAAAATGAGGAACTGGCCAAACCTGGGTGGGTGGAGGGGAGTGAGACTCCTTCCACCCCTGGTTGGGGATTTAGAATTCCAGCTGTACAGTTGCGCTGCCTGCACTGCCCCAGGACTCCAGCCACATGCCTACTGAGGCTGGGGCTTTAAGAGATTGGGTAGAATAAAGCCAGGCTGTAGGGGCGTGTTGGCTACTCCCTGTGGTCTGCAGTAAGAGCCACTAAGAAGAACAGTGTAAATAGAAGCTGGTCCATATTAGAGCAGAGACAGAAGAAAACACAGCCTTCTTAAAGAGGACCTTTATGCCTATATCAGCTGACAAAAGCTGGGTAGTCTTGGGAACTAAAGGATTTAAAAAGCCAAATTCTCTGCCACCATTTAATGCCAACAAAGGTATGGAGCTTGAAAACAAAGTAGGAGATAAGATTAAGACCTGGAAAAAGTCTAATCCTTGGTCTCTTCCCTCCCAAGCCCAGTTGCTATGCGCACCCTCCATGGGAAAATAAATGGGAACTTGACAGGCTCCAAAGGTTGTTTTGTTTGTGCCAGGTGACCAAGACGCAATGCCAGGGAGGGACAGGTGGAGGGGAGTGTGACCTGGAAAAAGTCTAATCCTTGGTCTCTTCCCTCCCAAGCCCAGTTGCTATGCGCACCCTCCATGGGAAAATAAATGGGAACTTGACCGGCTCCAAAGCTTGTTTTGTTTGTGCCAGGTGACCAAGACGCAATGCCAGGGAGGGACAGGTGGAGGGGAGTGGCTGACCAGGAAGCTGCAGAGGGAGGGATAGCGGACGGCTCATGGGCACAGACCGAGGGTTGGGATGGAACTGGAGGAGGTCCACGTCCACTGGAGAAGAGTCTGTGAAGTTGTCAGTGGCTGTAGGTGCATTTCTGGGTGTGGAAGGAAGTTTGGGGGGTCTCCAGGTTTCCCCAGTGGAGTGGGTGGAAAAGTCATTTGCTGAAGGGAAGGGCTTGAGGGAGGTGTTGAAGATGGGAACCCCATGGTTCCAGAGAAAGAGGGAGCCTGCCTAGGGGGCACTCATGAGGCTGGACGCCATGAGTGTGCAGAGGCCTCAAGCCCACGGGCTTCAGATTTGTTTTCCTGGGTGATGCTCGGAAGCCCTAGTTTAGCGAGAGGTAAGGCACGTTGTAGCTCTGCTCCGGGCTTGGGTTGTGCTGGGAGGGGAGAGAGTTGGAAAGAACGCAAAGGGGAGCCAGGACGGGGAAGAGAGGGGTTCAGATCGGAAACTGACTGGCAGGGAAGGAAGAGGCAGCAGAGGTGAGAGCAGTGAGAAAAAGGAAGGAGCCAGAGGTCTCCAGGAGGCTGAGGAGAGGTGTGTGGGAGAGAAGGTGACAGACCTCAGAGCCATGGCAATTTGTGACCTGAGAAGGGAAAACAGAGCTTAGGATTTCCAAGGTAAAGCAATTCCTGGCGATGACTTCCAAAGCAGCCTATCCTTGACTCCCAGTCTCTGCAGGGATCAAGGGCCAGGGAGAAGCTTTCCACGTAAAGAAGATCTACTTCTGCTTGGATTTGGGGTCTTAGAAGTTAATTTTTGTTGGATTCATTTGGAGACTAAGAAGATAAAGTTAACAACCAAGAGTGTCTGGGCATGTTTGTGATTGGCAGCCTGGTGACAGTGTTTCCCCAGAGCCATGGTGTTTAGGTTGTGGGGTCCTCGGGTCCAGCAGGCTGGCATGGTACCCTCGGAGCCCCTGGTGGGATGCTTACCTTGACCGTGTAGATCTGGAAGTAGATGGGTTGAGTGCCCATGCGAACATAGTAGGTGATGACATCCAGGATGAAGGGGTCCACAGTCCGGGATGTGTCCAAGGAGGGAGGCTATGGGGCAGACAGGAAATGTCTTCAGCCACCTCCCTCCAGGCCATATGGGAGTTGCCATTTTCTTAAGAGAGAAACTCCAGGGCCCCCATGTACTCTCTGCAATGACTAATCCAGCTGGTCCTTTAACACACTCCAAATCTTTCCCACCACCCCGTTTCAACTCTTTATCAAAATATCCCTGTCTAGAGCCCCATCTCCCTAGGGAGCCTAACAAATTTCAATTCCACAAAGACATACGGACAGATAGCAAGCACCTCTGTGTGTAAAGCATTGCTAGGTGCTTAGGGGAGACAAGATGCTTGAGAGTATAACTCATGAGGAAGGAGCCTGGACTGGATTCTAGGTTGCATTGGCTACCCCTTAGCCAGACAGCCTTGGGCAAGGTATTCAAACTCTTCAAGGTCTGAGTTTCTTTCTAGGGAAAATGAGAGGTTGAACCACATGATCTGATGTCTCTTTCGGCTCTGGTGGTCTCCAAATCTACTAATAAATTAATTAATGGTTACATGTTATTGGGAATGGATTTAGTGCATTTTCCTCCAGGGCCATCCCCAGCCCTATGTGATTATCAAGCATAATGATTGGGGTTTTCAGGCAAACTGAACAGAACATCTACATAGAATGTGATAGTACCAGAGTTTATCTCATCCAACTCATAACCAATCCTAAAAAATCTCTTCTGACTCTCACATCTGGTCCATTGAAATATTGTTCCCTTCAAAAAGGTTACACCAAGGAACTATGAGCTTATTCTGATAATGCCGTCATTGCTCACAATGTTTCCAGTCTCTTTATCTGAAAACGGCTTTTGGAGTTAGCATAAGGGCCATATAAATTATTAATTGTAAGGACAAGGGGAGCAGGGAAAACCCCAAATCATACATGTGTCCTAGCAGAGAAAAAAAGCTACCAACAAAGCAGCACCAATGAGTCCTGCATCAAATGTTCCTCCTGTAACATCCTCCAAGTTTTCAGAAAAAAAGCATTTTTATACCCAACTAAACAGCCTTTCATGTATATATAAAGACAGTTTCAGATAAGTTATAATTCAGAAAATGTGCACTTCCAAAACATCTTTGATTGAAAAATGTAAAAAGACATCCCAATCAATCGAGTGATAAAGCAAAATGGAGAGCTTTTGCATTATGTAAAATACATTATGTATTTTCATATATATTTTCAGTAAATACATTATGTGTTTTCACCACAATTTTAAAAACTAAAATAAATAAATAAATAAGTACAGATCAATAGCTTCCTTTTATACCAGCAGTAGCTACTACCCAAATATAATGGGGAAAAGATACCATTTACAACAGCAAGAAACATTATCAAATATGAGAAATAAATTTAGCAAGAAATGGGCAAAAGCTGTATGATGAAAACTATACAATTGTACTGAAGGATATACAAGAAGACTTTAATAAATGAAGAGGTATACCCCTCTCCCAGGGAGAGAAACCTACTATGCTAAAGATGCTAATTCTCTTCCAAATTTAAATCTAAATCCCAGTAAGATTTTTTAAAAAGCAACAAAACTTGATAGGAAATTCTAAATTTTATCAGGAAAGATACATAAATGAGCATAGTTTGAAAAGTTTTGGGAAAAAAAAGTAATGCAGTAGGTTTACCCTGACAGATACTAAAATACAAAAAATGCTAATGTGTGCAGAAATGAATAGATCAATGAGAGATGACAGATATCCATAAATAAACTCAAGCATAGGTAAGACATTAGTAAACGATAAAAGTGGAATGAAAAAAAGTAATGCAGTAGGTTTACCCTGACAGATACTAAAATACAAAAAATGCTAATGTGTGCAGAAATGAATAGATCAATGAGAGAAGACAGATATCCATAAATAAACTCAAGCATAGGTAAGACATTAGTAAACGATAAAAGTGGAATTTAGAATTGGTGAGGGGCAATATTTAAATGTTTGTTCCCTCCGAAACTCATGTTGAAACTTAACCTGCAATATAACAGTATTAAGAGATGGGACCTTTAAGAGGTAATTGGATCAATCCGTTAATGAAGTAATGG